AACACAGACAGACAGACAGACAGACAGACAGACAGACAGACAGACAGACAGACAGACAGACAGACAGACAGACAGACTTGCGTGCCGTTTGGCAATCAACAAGTTAACTGCTTTCCCTGCATTCTGTCACTCGGTTTGTATAGTAATGGTTTTCATGCTTATACAGGGAACGAACTCTGCAAACAGCAAATTTTTTTGAATTGTATTTCGGTAGTGTCCCTTAATCCAAGAACGAGGAATCAAGAGTTGACATTCTCACAAGGACCCCCAGAACCTCCTTGCATTCTTTTGGGGTATTACAAGTAGTCAAGGGGACAGCCAGCACCAAGAGTGACTTGTTCTCCAAAGGTACAAAAACCCCCCCAGAACAATTAACTAACTTTCGCTTTAAGCTTAGGTAGCTTCAGGGTTTTTGTTTGATTGTTGTTTTTTTTGCTTGTAATTTCTGACTCAAAGCAAAATATTTATTTTGACTAGTTTATGGGCTTTTTAACGTTCAAATTTATTGGATTTTAAATCATATTCTTACGATGTGATATGTAATGCATTTCAAGCAAGAAAACAAGAGCAAGTCTTTGTAAAATTTACTCTGTGAAATTACAAAACACCGATCAAATACTAGATCTGCTTTGATTTTTTAAAAATGTTGGCCTTATTGTCTTTTCCCTCTCAGTTTCCACGGGCTTGGGACCGTCTCAGAGTACACTGTACACCGAGGCCTGATTAAAAAGACGGCGCTACCGAGCGCTCACGTCTGGGTTATGTTAGTCGTTAGTAAGGTTAAACATGTTAGTGTTATGGGTTGGGTTAGTCATAGAATTGGGTGTTAATATTTGTACATTTCGGTAACTAGAGTTAGTTATAGCTGCAGTTAGTATTACAATGATTATCAATTAAAAAGTAGTCATTGAAACAGAGAAAAACAAAGGTCCCGAACACACCAAGCACTGCCCCCACAGTGGTTGGAATGATTAAGACTCGTTAGTAAGGTATTGATGGAAACACAAATAAAAAAATTAAAAAAACAAGCAAGAGAAAAACCACAGTGTTAAATAGAACCTAAGCTTTCTAGTTATTGTGAGACAACTGTGTTAGTAAAATTAAATAGAGAAAACGCTGAGTCCACTTTGTAGGTAGCAAAATCCCTCAGTGGCTGAAGGTAACTTCTCACAAGCAACATGTGCAAGTCCTCGTCGACTGGTAATTACGCACATGATCATCTCAGCTGTGATGTACAAACGCGATGCTCTCTTTGCTGTAACCTGCTTCCTACCTTTCTTCCTTCTTCGCTCCATTCGCAAGGCCCAGTGGTCTATCTTCTAGTTACCTGTTGTGTAAGACAGACACTGGTACAAAACACGGGAACATGTTGAGTGGATAAATTTTTAAGCATATCAGTATTAAAAATCAAAAAGCTATGAGCAGTTAGGGTATTAGTTATATTATTAGTGAAAATGGAGAGAAAAAACTAGAAAACAACTTTTGTTAGTAAAGTAAAAAAATAAAGAACGCAAAAAAAGCACTTGCACCCATTACAGAGAGTCTATGGTTACCCTGAACCTCTCAAAGCGCAGACGCAGGAATCCCAGGAGATCGCAGACTGAAAGTCGGAGTCGTGGGTTGTTCTGCACAAGCCTGGAGAGAACGAATCTGTGGAGAAAGCAATGGCACTGAGATAAGCAGCCGGCAACCTCAAGAGAAAGCAAGTATATTGTAAATGGATGACTTGCTTATACGTGGAAAACAACAAATGAGTAGCTACTAAAGGAACAATTCATTTTTCACTGAGGAGAAATTAACAGCAGTAATGATAACAGTCAAGAGTACTGAACAGGACTACATTAACAAAAATTAAGAAGGCTGTGCTAAAGAACCCAAAGAACGGCGTGCTTACCTGTAGAATCCCATGCGTGGCAGCAGGATGCTGTCGGACTCCACAGCAGTCAGAAGATCCTCCCAGTTGCGAGGGTTACGTTTGAAGACCAGACACCACAGCGTTGCTCCAAGTGCGTACGCGTCCGTCTGCATCGAGAAAAAAAACAACAGTTTGTCAAGAGTGAGCAAATGGTACCTAGCAACAACATGTTGCTGTAGTATACAAAGACCTTCACGAGGACTTTAGAAAGAAAAAAGGGTAAACAAACAAAGATATAAACTATAAACACAGCAGCAAACACGAGTAAACAAAGCCACAACAGAAAAACAAATGAAGGAAGTAATGCATGAACATCGCAGCTTAAAAACAACACGTAAACTTAAACACTATTGCTATTACTACTACTAACAACGGACACAACAACAAATAACCAAACGAACACAAAACGCACAGAAAGACAGACAAATAAACAAACATGACAATAAAAAAACCTGCAAAACAACAGGAAGCTAAACAAAATATTCAAACGAACAAAAAAAACAAGCTCACTGAGAAGAAATGTCTGCAGTTACTCACCAGAAAAGGATCTGCAGTGACGTCAGACATGATCTCTGGAGCGAGGAAGCCTCTTGTTCCAAGTATACTCCAGCTTCTCACTCGATCTTGTCCGTGGGCCAGGAAGCGGGACATCCCCATGTCTCCAAGAATAGCGTTGTTGGAGTTATCTAGGAAGATGTTGCCGGGCTTCACGTCCCCGTGCACAGCGCACCTAACGTGAAGGTATCTCAGTGCACAGGCGATCTGCACGAAGTAGCGCTCTATCTGCTCACTGTTAAGACTTTGACGTGCATCGTGCAAAGATCCTCGTGAGCACAGAGGCATGCAGATAGCTACAAAGCCCTTGCACCTCACCGCCCAGTCCATCTTCATGATATGCGGGTGTGAGACGTTGCCCATGAAGCTGATTTCTTTGAAAACCTCACGCCAACTGTCGCGGCCTCGGCGGTCAGTGAGACCTATCCTCTTGATGACCTTGCGAACAGAGTCATCGTCTTCCATTGCCACTTCCAACACTTGGACAGGCGTAGTCGTCTTCTGGCACAGAACACGCACTTGCCTCATCTTCACGGACGACCAAAAGTCACCGGCGATGAACCTCACTACAGGAACTGCAACACTTTCCATACTTGAAAATACACGAGAGATGTGCAGAAATGACACTCGGGTACACTGAAACAGTAACGTCCTCTCACTGCAAAAGCGATAAGAAGAACTGGAGGATGTCCGGGTCTGTCGGCTTTATATTTCCTCCCGCTCAGTGGATTTTACTCAGTTGTTGTTTCGGCCGCTAGCGTTTTTGTAAGACCGACAGTATGGTAGTAAAACATGAATGAAAGTGTATTGTTTCCGCTTCTATAGGTTTGAAACAACATGGCTGTAGGTGTGAAATAACATTGGAACAGTTTTTATTGAGGATTTTCCTTCCCATTCACTCTTATTGACCTGTGTTTACAACAGATGGCTGTCGTTGGCTGTGTGACACAATAGCGGCCAGCGGATCATCAAGACGCCATTGATACACCACTGTCAATACAAACAACAATGCGTGGGGGATTTTAAAGAGCTATAACTTTAAACGTCCAGGGGCTTAATATGCTCAATGCAATCAACTACTTTTTGTTGACATTAAAATGGAAACACAGTATGTGTAATTAGCAAGATACTGCGCAGATACCAGAACCTTGAGCAAGAAATTCCTTTATAGAAAAGAAGTACTATAGTGCAGTAAAAAATTTGAGGCGCAACGTATCCTCAAATATCTCTTTAGCGTGCGAATCAACGTCACTCATACTTTGTGTACATCAGTTTGTATCACTTTGTCCGAACCTAATCATATTTTCCCTTAATAATTGATTTAAAAAACTATTCTTCATAGATTTATATAAAATGCCATAAATCTCCGCCAAGCGGAAAATACGATTGTTCACAGCACTTCCCAGTTCACACGCACACATTTTGTATAGGTCTGCGGCCTATTTCACAACTCACCAATGACACTTTTTTGTGGCAAAATTTGTTACAAGAAAATAATTTTACAGTGAACACTTTTTTATACTAAAGGTTCTCAAAACATGTTTTCAATAAGCGTGATTAGGAAAAATAAGAAATGACGGATTTGCTTTTGAAAGCAATAATATTCTCCTGGCTGTAAACCTTTTTTTTCCTGTAAAAACCACCCATTTGTATTATATTAATTAGAGATTATTAAGGATTTTTTTTCTAGAATACAACGAACAGGTGTTTAAAAAAAATATTGTTCTATTAAGACAAATTGAAAGAAGTCATTATGCAAAATCTAGGTAGTCTATGTTCGATAGTTTAAGAGATATTTAGTAATAAGTTGCGCCACGAATTTTTGACCGAACTATAGATCTAGCTGTAAAACTAAATTTTAAGCTTCATGATAAAAAGCGCGTAAATCTCGTGCCCCCCCCC